CATAGGTGGTAAATCAATCCCTATTAGGGCACATATGATAGGAACAACCCGAATTAAGAATCCATTCATCATTAAAACGTCCATCAGAGACTGTAATGACATTATCTGAACCATCAGATGTATCTTCTGCAACACCAGTAACACTAGAGGAATTGAAAGGATTTGAATTTTTTTGTCCCCCTTTATTTTTCAACTTAAAACAATCACGCTTATAATAACCAATTTTATGACAATACAAACATTCAACATTATTTTGTTTCTTCTTAGATTGTGATCGATATCCAGCTTTTCCTTTTCCTTTATCTGAATTTCTTTTAATGGATCGACCTCTATTATTATTAGATGAATTATCATGACGACCTTTCACAAATAAACCCTCGGCTTGAGTATCACTGCCCTTACTATTCAATTTAGTACGCAATTCCTTAGAATTCAAAGAGGATTTCACATCAACTAAAGAGATTGAGTCTCTCCCATACAACATCGAATTAACAACATTATTAAACGAATCAGGCAGTGAGCATAACACAATTAGGGCTTGATCTTCATCCCCAATTTTAATATCAATATTTTTCAAGTCAATAATAATTTGTTAAATTCATCAAGATGTTCATTAATGGGCGTACCTTCTTTCATCTTGAGTGTGTACAACCGTTGTTTTAAATACAAGCGATTGGCGAGAGACTTCTTCATATATAAACTCTCCAACTTTTTTCATAACCCTTTGCCTTTGTCTTCATCGATAACCTCACGAAGAACTTCATCAGCAAGAGACAACTGAATTGCACTGTGTGCTTTTTCTTCAATATCAACAACTTTAGTTTGATCTGTCTCCTTGGATAAAGTTTCATCAATGACCTTTGCCAAACCCTGCTGACGAAGCAATGCCTTCATCTTGATTTGCCATAAATTAAAATTTTTCTAACCATGAAATTTTTCTATCTCGAATTTTGCGGTAGCCATCCCAAAACCAATAGCTCTGATATCAATTTGTTATAAACAAAACCACAAACAAAATAATAACACAATGAAATAGAAAAAATAGAACACAAAGATTTACGTGGTTCGGCTCAACAAGCAAGCCTACATCCATAAACGAAACACAACGTCAAATTTCACTATTGAAAGGTTGGAGATTACAACTTTCTCAGAACAAATCAAAGAGAAAACTAGATATCTGCTCTATTCCAATAATAAAATATTTATTAGATTTAACAAAATAGAGCAATATCAATTTATCACACACAAAGAAAACTCTTGTACTGTCGTCAATGGCCAACGACTAACTCATTGGAGAAGACGTCCTTTTTATCTAGCTTCTGGACTAAGGAATTTGATTCCTTTACAAAGTCTTTATGCTGAGGAGGTCTCACGTGTAGTACAAAAAATCAAAGATTCCTTGAAGGCTTTGAGTTTAAACAAAAAAAGTCCATGTTGGACTAAACTCCACTAAAATAATAAAACCAAGATAATCCTAATTAAGGTCAACCTGTCTATCAAGGACTCCAATGAAAACTCATGTCTTCAATTAGAGTCCATATAAAAAACAATTGACTTGAATACAAGTCATCACAACAGAACCTAAGTAAGATCGCTGCCAGTGTCATTTTCAAAAGTGTAGGGTTTTTGTGAGCTCCCTATCTCCAGGGTGATTGAGTAGAATCTGCCTATGTGTAACATACAAATAATACATTGTTTTTAAAACTGAAACAAGCAAGTTAGACAGAGAGACAATGAATAAGACAAAGAGGATGTAGACTGAATTGAACAGATAGGTCGATTCTGATGCCAATCGTTAGAGGGATAGATGGAAGTGCTATGGACGGATCCAAAGTTGCTCACCATGGACCAAAATAGGGGCCTTCGGTAAGCGGTATCAATTCTCTGATGTTGAAAAGCTCTGTCCCGAGTAGTGGAAAAGCCCAAATACGAATATGTTAAACAGCTGAAGACGAATTGTTGAGCCCGTTCCATAAAAATCACATGAATATATCAACCAAAAGTAAATACCCTTTTGTGGGATGGTAATATGACATGTTAACACAATATATCTGATACGAAAATAACACAAGCAGTAGTACGTACAGATAATAAGCAAGTCAGACGAAACACGAATAACTTGATTTTTCATTATTCATTATATATTACTTGAAACTTTGTACAATTAAATGATTTTTTCACTTGGTTTTCAATTATGATTTTCGTCTGAATACAACAAAATTAGTAAACAAGTTGGATTAGTACCAAAAATCTAACTCAAATATTTAACATGAACCCAAAATAAGACGATCTGAACGTCACTTGGTTCATCAGTTGACACCCCCAGCCTTGTGAATTGAGGGATTAAAAGGAAAATGTAAGAATAATCCAAAGAGATTAAACACCATAAATACTACCAAATGCAAAATCAGAATAGAAAGATAGGAAATGCATACCCATCATAAACACAACCACTAACATCAAAGAACACTGAGGACCCGTATGGATTGGGTGGATTTGTCTGTACCATCATGCTCTCTAGAAACTCGAGAAGCAGAATTGAAGTGCTGTCGAGAAAACCATAACAAAAAACACCTCCATTAATGGTGATATTTTCAGTTTCTCATTAATGCTAGAACCTTTCATTGGGTAGTCAAGGCAATGATCAGAACCCAAATGGGCTTCAAGTTTTGCACTTAAAAAATGCTATGTATATGTGAAAGATTGGGATTAAGTCTATTGACTTGACTGATATAAATATACAGAGTCCACACCCACCTTACAGTGTACATGGATTTCTGTGTGAGGTATGACATCCAAAACTTTAGGACTATACCCTTCAATTTTGAAATGGAAGTGACATTTTTTCCATGGTTTTAATTGTCTTTTCACTAGATGCTTGGAGAAGCCAGGTTGTGAGTTTGTCCACTTTCGGTGGGTTTTTTGGCTTCTTACACAAGATTGATTACTTGTGAATCAAGAACATGTCCTTTAGTACGAGACAAGGAAAATGGTAAGAGAGGGAGTAGGAAGTAATGAAGAGAGGGACAACATGGTATGAAAAAGATGAAAAGCCAATCAAAGTTTGCTTGTCACTACTATTACGAACAATATTTTAGAAAACTACTATGTCATGTCTGTTTGGTTTGTAGTGTATCAAGGGTGTATGAATGCATTTATCTGATAATTTTGATGTTTGAGGCTTTCCATTTTATAATAAATTAAATTTGCCTTTGTGATGGTGATGTTGTGCATGTCTTGTAGACTTTTGAGCCGAACCACGTAATCTACCATGTGGACAAAAATTCTATATTGTGATGGTTTCGGTGGGATGTTTGATGTTTCTGTTGGAGTTATAGCTTAGTTTAGTGTTGATTTATGCTAGGAAGCTGGGCTGTAGGTGATTGCTGGAAGGTGGGATGGTGGCTGGCAGTGGCTTGCTAGCCTGGGCAGTGGTCTGTCAGTGCTTGGCTGGAAGGTGTGGCGCTGCTGGGCAATGTGGTGGTGGCTGGCAGTGGCTGATGATTGGGTAGGATTGTTAGGGTTGACGGCTAGGGTTAGAGGTCGGGTTTGGCTCTGATACCATCTTGAGATATGTGAAAGAAATACTCAAACTAAAAGTAGAACCCCGTATATATAGTCAAATAATAATACAAAGTGACTTAAACACCCTTATGATTTAGACAAAATATAAAAGTCCCAATAAGAGTAAAAAAGGAAAAAAAAAATTATAATAAACTAAGCTACAACTCCAACAGTTTTAAACCACTAAATGGAGGTGAATGTGAAATTTGGGAGGTTACATGTGCTCTGATGGATTAGTAATCCAATTTGCACTATACTTGGATTACTATGAACTTAATTCAATGATTCTATTACATAGAATATTGGAATAGGTTTGACTCTCTCAGACTACCACCCAGAAAAGCCTTCTATAGTACAGTCCCTCACCCGGAAAAGGAGAAAGAGAAATGAAAAATTGAGAAAACAAAAAGAGCAAAGTGCCTAGTAATTGCTTGTACATTACAACAGTACGTATATGAATACTAAACCAATTGAGGGTCTTGTCTGTGGAAGCAATAGGGACATAAAAGAGGAATAAGTTTCACTTTAATTGAAAGGTTACTCCATAAAATGTTAGTAAGTTCAGTGACAAATAAGTCACTCAATGCTTTAGATGATTTCAAACTGGTAGGACTGCAAATTATTCCGATTCATCCCCATGCTCAACTGGTTCAGCAATCGTACAATAGTCTTAATTAAGTTCATTTGAAATATTCCGAAATAACTTCAATATCCGCATGATCAATCAAATGGTCATCTCTAAATAAATTAAGAATTAGGAACATTTCTGGTGATGACTCGAAATATGGGGGAAAGCATCAACATTGGAAAAATAAAGTGAAATGTATAAAATTATTTTTTAAAAAAGAAAAAAAAAACAAAGGGTGGGATAGCCTTCATTAATTTAAGCTAGGTCCACGTATGTTGAACTAATCAACTAAGCCTAACATTGACATAAGGTTGCTGTACTTAAATATAAAAATTCATTCATGCCTTGATCAATTAGCATCTCCTGTATCCCTTGAGAGAAAGCTGTAATCATCCAATTTTCTTATTGGATTTTATGAGGCTAACTTAGAGGTACAATCAATCACACCACGCATGAATTTTTATCTAACAATTACTATATATAAAAAATCTTTCGATCAATCCTTCAAGTTCAAACAAATCAGCTATCCTTGAAAAAGGTAGTTAAGGTCGTCATTGAGAAACTAGAAGAAGCAAAACAAGAAATTGTCACTAATTAAGTTGATATAACCATTCAAATATGATTAATATGTTTCATTTCATAAGCATATATACTATAGAGCTTTAGCTGAACAAATGATATGTTTCATTTCAGTTTTGCTATTGCAAACTGAATTTACAATAGCATGCAGCTATCTGCTCCTTAAATTTTCCTCGTAGGAGCTTAATTTTCCAACCGGTTTATTGGTATATAGAGCTTCAAAGGAAGCTTAAGTTGAAGGAGATTCAGCTGGCAAAGTGCTGCTCGAGTTGGGATGATGAGCCACCCTGCAGGTAAACAATAATTAAGTCAGTTAGAATTAACAAAGCATTGTCATGCACACACACACACACACAAAGGACAAAAATAGTGACAAGGAAAAGAGTTCAAGACCTGGCATTGCAGTTTGAAGGAACCCATCCAATTAACTCTCTCTCATTGTCATAAATCACCAACTTATCTTGCAAAGAAATATCTGGAGATAGATAAGCCATGATCATAGTTGAGGGGAAAATATGAGGAACTCAATAATTATAGGGGTAAACTAAGCCATCATCATAGTTGAGGGGTCAAAATATAAAAAATAAAATTTCAGCATGTTGGTTTTCTTCTTCTAACTTGTACATATCTTACCTCCAATTAGATTCAAGTTTTCGAGTCCTAAATGAGCACCATTTAAAATGCCGAAGCATACATTGCCCGATGGCTGAAATAGAATTAAGAGCATGTTCAGTATCAAGATGTATATATATATTTTTTTATCTGTTGTTTAATAAGCACAGAAAAAGCTGCTATCTAGGTTGCTCACTGAGATGATAAGATAAGCTTCTGGAGGCAATTGAAGCTGAGCATTGTTGGTTCTTGAAAAGAGGAGTGCCATATGCTTGAAGTAGTTCCTGACTTCACCAACAACTCTGTAGCGTTTTGGGCCTTTCCAGCAGACTGGGAGATATGTGTCGTCATTAATCTCTCTCAGTGGAGTTCCCCTTAAACTATTCCTCACCTGAAACAAGAATTAAGAAATAGTTTTGGATATGGACACGAGCAAAAATGGTGACGAAAAGTTTTTTTTTGTTCAATAAAAACGTGACACGAGCAAAATGTTTTTGGTTATGTTATGACTGAAAATGCTAGCCTAGGCATAGAGAGAATCACCCCGCCTCACTCTTTCATGTCATAACAGTACTAATTATGAGTTTGATTCTCACCAGAGCAAGTGTAGCTGTATAAGCATGGGGAGCAAAAATGGTGTAGGTACTCCCAGAGTCGAAAACGACTTCAAGCTGCTTTAGAGGAGTAACCTTCCCATCAAAGAGGATATCTCCATGCCCCGGCGAGTAGTCGTCCCTGAAACAAAGGATAAGTACAGATATTGCGGGTTAACTACAATGCATCAGTAGAAGCAAAAGAAACGAGATGGAGAAAAGAGGTGAAGGGTGTTGCAAAGTGACCTGTGATGCCCTGCCATTTGCATCCACACAGTTCCTGGAGAAGGGGAATGAGCTCCGAAGAAAAGATACCCATCTCGGCTGCCTATACAATGGCCAAAGACATTTTGGATTAGACCCTGAGCTCGTAGCTGTGATGCAATGGTTAGTGGCGAACGGCCAAGGCCAAGGATGCCATCAACATTAGGCAAGGTTGAAGGTGGAACTCTTTGATCAAATCCACACCTAAAGATAAGAGAATCAGAAAACATGAAATCCCTGAAAGGCAAACAATCACATTCTTGGGTGTCTTTTGTTTTTATTGAATGTCTAGTCTCTTGGTCGTGGCCGTGATGTATGTTTGTCTTTGTGGATCAGGCGAGTTTGAGCAATTCTCTGAGAAAGTCACAACATCAAGTAATTTCATTTTCAAGCTTAGAACACTATTCAATTAGATCCAGGGCAAAGAGGAAGTTACCAACCCGAAGATGAGAGTGGGTCTGGAGAAACCAGTGGTGAGATGGAGTGGAAAGGAGTCTCTGACCAGCAAGCCAATAGATAAAGCTCCATCGGCATATTGAACCTCATAGTGGCATCGATCATTAGGTTGCCTACATGGATAGTTTGCAGGATGATCCACAAAATCACACATGTGGTCCTGACACAAGGCAGCATCAATCCTGGGGGGCTTGTATGGTCTATGAGGAGCCTGCACAGCACACATACAAGCATGAAGGAATTTATAAGTGTATGAAACTTTTCGTAAAATGGAATTGATTGAATGGTAATTACCTGAAGACAATTGATACATGGTGCATCACATTGGATCCAAGTGACATAGCTGCCAGTGTCCATATCCAGAGTGTAGGGCATGGGTGGGTTTCCTATCTCCATGTTGACAGTGTAGGATCTGTACATGTTGAAGAGAAGTACTGATATATCAGCTTGTCACAGTAGAATTTCCATGGAAATTCCATGAATGATCACAAGAAGTAACAATGGAAATTTGGAGGATTACAAGTAATAAGCGACAGAGACATGAATAGAACAGGGAAAATCCTAGGAAACTATTCAATGATGGAAGTGAGACATAAGAGTTTTCTAAGAAATTAAAAAAAATACAAATCATACTGAAAATTAAAGAAAATCAACTAAATGGCCCTACAAGAAAACAGATGAGGAAAACAGTTCAAGGATAACACCAGGTTACAAGTAAATAACAAGAGAAAGAAAAATGAAAACCAGTGATAAGGAATAAAAAATAGAAAGAAAAACCAATGGAAACTCAAGTAAACAACGCCTAATGATGAAATAAATCGAGAAGATAAAACACTACGACATACCCTTGATGAACACTTCCACTGAGACGAAAAACGAAGGACCCCAATTGATTTGGAGATAAAGTCTGCGTCTTCTTGCTGTCATGAGGCTCATAAGCATATGAAGAAGAACACTGAAATGTTCCAGACAGAACCAAGAGAAACGCCACCAACACTAGTGCTTTGGCTTGATGATTCATGTTTGACACTTTCATTTCTTTGGGAGTGATCAGAAGCCAAATGGGGTTTGTGGTTTTCACCCACGAATGATGCATGTATATATACACAAAGAATTTTAAGAGAGAGAGAGAGAGAGAGAGTTTAATGACTTTTCTCATTATAGTGTGTCTAGACTCTAGAGTCTACGCATGTCAACCTCGCAAAGAAGCTTGCCATGGAACTGGATCAAAACCTAAAGCCTCTACCCATCGTTTTAATGCAAATAAAGTCTGTACAAGGCAAATTTGGTTTTTCACTGCATACACAGCCATCTCCTCCAAGGAATATGGAGCATAGGGTAAGTTGAGGTGTGAGAAAGCAATCAATAACATGCAAATATAACATATTACTTATCAGTCCTTATTAAGTATAGCATTTTAGACTCTTCTTTTGCCTTTGGTCTTCTGCTTGTAATTAGTGGTTAAGCTTCCGTGGTATATCCATTGTATATGTTTCTCCTTTTCGACTAATAAAATTACTTACTTTCTGGTGAAACCTATAAAATAGTATTAGGCAAAGTTGCCTATTCACTGCATGCATGGACCTATGTTTTTTAGGAATATGTTATTGGACCAAAACAGTTTTTTGAGCGTAAAAATTGAGTTTTTGGTTGACTTTGAGTCTAAATTAAAGTGGGATTCGATTGTTATTTTGAATAAAATTTTGTGGGTTCATATTTTACTCCGTGAGGAGAATAACGTGATATATTCATTTGCTTAAATCGAGTAAAAAATGAATGAGAAAATAGACTCCAAAGTGATCCTCTTGAAACATGAAAATAAAGGAAGTGCAATGTGGGATGTGACACCAATCCCACATTAGTTGAGGAAGAAATTCAACATGGGCATATATAGGCCAAGTTTGCTCTATGGGATTGAGACCCAAGGGGTACCACAGTTTTATGAGCGGAGCGAACACCTACATGCCTTCGGTTCAACCACACACGCGTGCTCCGCCTGCCTCGCCACGACCCAGGCCGGGCTCGGGTGTGGGTTGACCAAGCCCGATTTTTTTGGATAAAATTCATTTTATTAATGGGTGAGAATTTTTTAATCTGAAATTAATTCGGTACCCACTGGATCGGTTCGAATTCAGTCCGAAATTGAATTATGACTGTTCATGAAGAACAATTATTAAAGGTGTCCACTGGCTGGTCGATTTTTTTGTTTCTGGGCTGTGTCCTTTAGTATGGTGGTTGTCCGAATAGTCACCTGACTATCTATAAATACCCAGTTCATGCATTCATTTTAGGGATTTTCATTTCATCAGTTCATTAAGGCATTAAACAGTCTGCATTTCGGCATTAAGACAATGCATTTACAGAGAGTACACAACACAATATTGGTTCGCTGGAGTTGTAGATTGGAGTACTAATTCTATTCGTGTAAAGATCATTGTATCTTGGGAGGCAGACATTCGGTATTCCATAAGCATCATGTGTAGAGGCGCAATCTGCCTTAAGGACATAGTGTCAAACACTAGCCTTGATCTACTTAAAATTCAATAACAGTTTCTGTTCTGCAACCGGGTTAGTTTTTATTTTGTTTAAACAAACAATTTATGTGTAACTGTTTGCTGTAACTCTTTGTTGTAACTCTTTCATGTTTCATATTTGTTTGTTACTGTTTTACTTATTTCAAATCAGAAACTTCAATAAGTGATTTTACTATATTTTGCACACCTTTCAAACAACAATCTTAAGACAAATTTTCCGAATTTGTATAGTTGCTTATTGTGTTTCTGATACATATTTTAATGTTTTGACTATTCTAAAATATTACAAATTTTTAAAACTTGTTTTGTTTACAATCTGTGATATTTTGAAGAGACTTAAAAATTTGTGAGAAATTATATTCTGTTTTCTGTGTTTAAATTCAAACAGTAACTCTGATTTAAACCGTTACACCAAATAGTAACTTTGTTTCTGTGTATGATTTAAACAGTTACATCAAATAGTAGTGACACTGTCTCTGTTTTAGTACCTTTGTTTTGGAATGTGTTATTGTTTTCCTATTTTGAATAGTTTGTAATATTTGTTTATCCGAAATGACTGCAAATAATAATATTGTTTCTGCTATTACAAATCATGTTGTGCTTGTGGTGCCTATTTCTGTTCCTACTGATCATGTGTCTCATGGGGAGAAATCCAAAAAGTTCAATGAGAATGATTTTAAGAGATGACAACAAAAAATGTTGTGTTTATCTCACTACGTTGAATCTTGCAAAATTTTTTCGTGAGGATGCTCCTGTTTGTAATGAGAATGAGATCGACCGCCAAATTGTTGCTGCGGTGGAGGTATGGAAACACTCTGATTTTCTGTACAAAAATTATATTTTCAATGGATTGGATAACACATTATATAATGTGTATAGTCCAATCAAGACAGCTAGAGAGCTGTGGGAATCTTTGGATAGAAAATACAAGACGAAAGATGCCGGAATGAAAAAATTTGTTGTGAGCAGATTCTTTGACTACAAATGGTGGATTACAAGACTATCATAAGTCAAGTTCAAGATATTCAAGTGATCCTACATAAGATTCATGTCGAAGGAATGGTGCTTAGTGAATCTTTTCAAGTGGCTGCAATTATTGAAAAATTACCGCCAAATTTGAAGGACTTCAAAAATTATTTGAAGTACAAATGCAAAGAAATGAAACTTGAAGACTTGATCGTGCGATTGAGAATTGAGGAGGACAATAGAGTTTCTGAAAAGAAATTTGGCAATTATTCCATGGAATCAAAGATACATGTGATTGAAGAGGGATATAAAACCAACAAAAAAATAAAGTATGTTGGCCAACAAGGGGCCAAGGGCGGTGATTCCAAAAGGTTCAAAGACAACTACTTTGTGTGCAATAAATCGGGGGATTGTGCAAAGGATTGTCGAAACTGTAAAACACAAGGGAACCACAAGAGGAAGGCTGCCAAGCCAATATAACCGAGGAAGAAATTTTTTTTGAAAATATTTCTAACATAAGTTTTTCTGCTATAGTATCCGAAGTGAACTTGGTGAGAAATACCAAGGAATGGTGGGTGGACACCGGGGCCACTAGACATATATGTTCGGATAAGAAGATATTCTTTTCAAATGAAGCAAGCAATTAATGATGGAGAACAACTCTACATGGAAAATTCCTCTACTTTCAAAGTTGAAGGCAAAGGAAATGTTATATTGAATATGACTTTTAGAAAAGAACTTATTCTCAATGATGTGTTACATGTTCCAGAAATTCAAAAGAATCTTGTGTCTGGATCATTGTTGAGTAAGAAAGGTTTTAGATTGGTTTTTAAGTTCAACAAATTTGTATTCACCAAGAATGAGATTTATGTAGACAAGGGGCATATGAGCGATGGACTCTTTAAGATGAATGTAATGACAATTGTATCTGATTTTAATAAAAAGAACACATCTTCTGTTTATATGCTTGAGTCTCCTAACGTATGGCATGATAGATTATGACATGTTAATTTTGAAACTATGCGTAAATTATGAATTTAGAATTGTTGCCTAAATTCAATATTAATGCAAATCATAAATGTGAGGCATGTGTTGAATCAAAATTAACTAGAGCATCATTTCATAATATTGAAAGAAGCATTGAACATCTAGAGTTAATTCATAGTGATACATGTGATTTGCAATATGTTCAAACTAGAGGTAGAAAGAAATACGTTGTTACATTTATTGATGATTGCACAAAATATTGCTATGTATATTTGCTAAGAAGTAAATATTAAGCATTAGAAAAATTTATGCACTATAAGAATGAGGTTGAGAATTAACTTGACAAAAAAATTAAGACAATAAGAAGTGATCGAGGTAGTGAATATGTCGCACTTTTTGATCGATTCTGTCAAGAACATGGTATTATTCACCAAACTTCTGCGCCTTATACACCTCAGCAAAATGAAATTGTTGAACGTAAAAATAGAACTTTAAAAGAGATGATGAATGTCGTGTTGATTAGTTCGGGATTACCTCAGAACTTGTGGGAAAAAGTTTTGCTTCTAGCAAATTATATTTTAAATAGACTACCTCACAAGAAGTTAGACAAAACCCCTTATGAATTATGGAAAGGAAGGAGTCCTTCCTACAAATGTTTCAAAGTGTGGGGGTGTTTGGCTAAACTGATGGTTCCTATTCCTAAAAAGATTAAAATAGGACCTAAGATTATTGATTGTATATTTATTTGTTATACAATAAATAGCAGTGCATATCGCTTTCTCGTGCATAAATTTGATATTCCTGATATACAATCATTGAGTCAATGAATGCATCATTTTTTGAAAATGTCTTCCTAGTAAAAATGCATGTGATGGGAGTTCTCTTAAAAGAGCTCATGATAGTGCGACTAGTAATATAGACAATGAGTCTATAAATGAAGAAAGTGAAGAGACATCTAGACGCAGTAAGATGGCAAGGACTTCCAAGTCCTATGGTCCAGATTTTCTAACATATTTGTTAGAAAATGAGCCTCAAAACTTCAATGAAGCAATGTCCACTCCTGAAGCACCTATGTGGAAAAAAGCTGTAAATAGTGAAATTAAATCCATTATGCAAAATCCCACCTGGGAGTTGGTAGGTCTTCCTCCAGGGAGTAAACCATTGGGGTGTAAATGAATTTTCAAGCGAAAAATGAAAAGTGATGGATCAATTGATAAGTACAAAGCTAGACTTGTAGCTAAAGGTTACAAACAAAAGGAAGATCTTGATTACTTTGATACATATTCTCCTGTCACGAGAATAACATCTATTCGTATGCTTATAGCTATTACAACATTGCATAATCTTGAGATACACAAAATGGATGTCAAAACAGTTTTCTTAAATGGTGACTTAAATGAGGAAATTTATATAGAACAACCCGAAGGGTTTGTTTCTCCGGGACAAGAAAAGAAAGTGTGTAGACTTGTTAAATCACTTTATGGTTTAAAGCAAGCACCAAAATAATGACCCGAGAAATTTGATAAGGTAATGATATCAAATGATTTCA